CATCTATGTATCTCTATATATATAGTAGAAGATGATACTAGACGAATATCAGTAAAAACAAAAAAAAATTCCGATGAAGATATTTCTAGAAAAAGACGAATATCAGTAATAGTCAATATTCAAAGTTGTATGTTCTAGAAAATCTAGCCAAACAATTACTATACACTCGAATTTAATTGTTTTCAAATCCCATTCTAGGTGAAGATATTTCCTTATTTTGGTGGATTTTCTAGATCCCATCATTGATTTTTATATAGAAAATGATATGGGTTAGGTTGTTTTCTCGATTTGTTTACCATAAACAATATCATAGACTATAGTAACGCCATGTTTATCATTATTAACTGAAAAATCACTGCCAAAAAATTCCGCTAGAATGTATATTTACGTAAATAAAACATACTTATTCCAAAATGAAATTGTAATATGGTTTTGCAACTTAAAATGGTAAAAACAAAAGGTAAAAAAATTAATTTTATTACCATTTAGAAAAGTCAAAACCAATTCGACCTTTTTATAACGAAAGACTCGCCGCTTCAAATGCTTCCACAAGAACCAACGAAGCAAAAACAAAAACAAAAAACCAAAAAAAAAGGACAAAAACAGAGAAGAAACTCGTGTAACAATGGCTGAATCAACTAGGCCGCTTCTGACCGATTCGAACTCGCCACCACCGAGATCTCTCGACGACACGATCGAGACTTACATTGGAAGTTTTGGATGGGCTCAGTTTCTTCAAGCCGCTTTAGTTTCATTCTCCGGTGTTTTCGATGCTCAACAAACTTTCATCTCTGTCTTCACAGACTTCGAACCCACATGGCACTGCACCGGCCGGTCCGAGCCCGGTTCGATCTGTCACGAATCCGTCTCGAACATTTGTATTCTCCCTAAAACTGCCTGGTCTTGGGATTTCTTACCTCACGTCTCTGTTATATCAGAATGGAATCTCCAATGTGCCGGCTCGTTCGTCAAAGGCTTACCGGAGAGTTCATTCTTCGTCGGATGTTTAATCGGCGGTTTGATTCTCTCAACACTAGCTGATTCTTCTCTTGGTCGGAAAAACATGTTGTTTCTCTCTTGTCTTGTTATGTCGTTATCAACGATGCTTACGGTTTTCTCACCTAATATATGGGTTTATGCTTTTCTTCGATTCGTTAATGGGTTTGGTCGAGCTACGATCGGGACATGTGCGCTTGTTCTTTCGACGGAGTTGGTCGGGAAGAAATGGAGAGGACGTGTCGGAATCATGAGTTTTTTCGGTTTCATGCTTGGATTCTTGTCACTGCCTTTCATGGCTTATATAAACAGAGGAAACTCGTGGAGGGTTCTTTATATTTGGACTTCGATTCCGACTATGCTCTATTGTGTTCTTGTTCGGTTTTTCGTATGCGAGTCTCCGAGGTGGCTTTTCGTTAGAGGTCGTAGAGAAGAAGCTATTTCGATTCTCAAAAAGGTTGCTTCGATTCCTAAGACGAGTGATGTTAACTATGATGGTGCAATCTTCATGAGCTTTTCGAGTTTACCATTTGAGAAGGAGGAAGAGGATTATGAGAAGCCTAGTGTTAACATCTATGAGTCAATGAAGGTGTTGGTGGGAAAGAGATGGGCACTTAAGAGATTATCCGCGGTAATGGCGGTTGCGTTTGGAATCGGTTTGGTCTATTACGGTATGCCATTAGCTTTATCGGATCTCGATTTCAACATCTACTTGAGTGCAGCGTTTAATGCGTTGATGGATTTGCCGGCGAACCTCATCACGCTTTTCCTAGTTGATAAACTCAGCAGGAGAAACGCGCTTATCGGGTTTACGGCATTAGGCGGTGTTTCCAGCGTTCTCATATTCGCGTTACAGAATATGAGAATTGGAAACCATGGGGCGTTACAGTTGGCATTAGAGCTAATTTCTTACTTTAGCGCGTGTTCGGCTTTTAACATGGAGATGATATACACAATCGAGTTGTTTCCGACATGCGTTAGGAACTCGGCGATCGCAATGGCTAGGCAAGCCTTGGTTCTTGGTGGGGTTTTCAGTCCTATTATGGTAGCGGCTGGTCGGAAAAACGGATTTTGGTCATTTGGGTTGTTCGGTCTTGCTATAGGATTGTTGGGATTGTGCGTGGTCGGGTTACCGGAGACTAGAGGGAGTGATCTATGCGACACTATGGACGAGGAAGAGTGCAAAGATCGGCAGAGTAACAACCTTATCGTCAATGATGTGATTGCGTGATGCGATATGGATTGTTGAATGCATGTGAGTTAATGTAGGTTTAATACTTGTCACTTGGGTTGGGTATCTTTTATGTATAATCCAATCCTAATTAGATAAATATTATTAATGGGTTTTATTGGTAGTAGTTGGCTGTTTGTACAACGATCTATACAATGTTGTACACTTGTTTGGTTCGTATGCTTTCATGGGTTTAACTGTCAATAAATGAGGTCAATCTAACAAGATCTTTAAATTTATGCCTTGAAAAAATCATAGCGAAGACAATGTTTTATTTTCTTTTTAAGGAAAAACGCATAAAAAAACTTATACGCTGATACGCGCTAACATTTTAAATCTCAAAATTTTTTGACTAACACTTTAAACCTTCAACTTGACATTATTAACACAATAAATCACCAAAGTGGCTTTCGAGTACGCACGATCATAAAATTTAACGAAACTGTTCATATTCCGTTAAAATGACTTTAAAACATTTTTTAATTAAAAAAACAGATAAAGGTGGTCACAGCTGGTCACAGCACTATTTTGTTTTAGTTTACAGTTTTTAGTAACTTGTCTTCAAATTTCTTTTTGAAAGACAACACACTACAAAAAATAGTGTTTGTTGCATATATATAACATCACAAAACTAAATGACATTGATTTAAATTACTTATTAATAAACGATGCAAAATATATTATTTAACATCAGTTATTGTAATTGATGTTTTTATTGACTGAGTTTACATCGATTCAATAGAAATGATATAAATTTATATTAGTTTACATCACTTTAAAAAAATTGACACAAAATATAAATTTACCTCAGTTAAATAATTGATGTATTTATTAATTTTTCGTAATATCATTTAGAAAAATGATATAAAACTTACATCAATAATAAAAGATGTTAATTATGAGATTTAGCTTCAATTATTAAAATACTAGATTTTTGACCCGCGTCAAACGCGAGATTAGGATATTCAAAAATAAAAGATTATATTTTGTTATAATATACAAAAGAAATTATAAACAACAAAGATCAAATGATATATTTTTCACATAGATAAATATATTTTATTTTACAAAAACTAATTTGCATGATATTTATATTGAATGTAAGCGTTTTTTATGTAAATCGAATACATTTGAGATTATGAATTCTTTCAAACTTATTTAAACTCACCAAACCCAAACCAATATCTCGTTAAAATGTTAAAAAAAAATTAGACCAAAAATCAAAGAAATAATAATAAAAAGTGAAAATGATGATTTTTGAAATTCAAACGTTAATGTTTAGATTGTAATGTTGTACGTTTATAACAACACAACTTT